GAGGGGGAAAAAAGATATGCCTTACTGCTTTCTTCACAATTTCAGTTTCAGAGCGAAGTCTTTGGACCACCCGGCTCATATCTGCAATCTCATCCTTGGTTGATTTCAAGTCATCGCCGTGCTTGAAAGCTGTAGTTTGCAACTCTTGGAACTAAGAGTCAAAATGCAAAGTAATGATCATCTTATATGTCATAATAAGTCCAATTCACAAAATATTCTTTATTCACACACATAGAAGGGTTGGCATTGGTTGCAAATGTATAGAAAAAAAATGTTCATACTGCTTGAAAGAGGAAATTTTGAATTGCTTTAGTTTAATGTATGGAAAGGTTTAGTTTTTCTACAGATTAAGAGCCAAAATTTAGCTACAGGCACAGAAATATATTTTCTATAAAGGACTGCATTTCTTAAACATGAATTTATATGCAGTTGTGCTCTCAAGGCAAAACACTGGACCAGATTCTTGGAACCCCCTCCAGGAAGCTTACAAGATTAGCAAAACATATTTTTCCACTTGAGACAAAACAGCAAGGTACATTCTACCCCAGGCCATCCAACTTTTTTTAGCATCTGAAACATCCCATAAATACACCCAAGATTGGGAAGGTTATATATTAGAAAAATGAAATACAAATGGAAGAGACAGTGGTAATTATCTGTTGATAGTGGTCATTCACCAAACCATCTTTGGGTGTAATATGCCCTGTGTTTATGACATGAAGATAGTACTCCATGTATCTTGGGACATAGATTAGATCTAGAAAATGTATGGTATAATAAACTTATGAGCCTCTTTTGGCTGCCATAAAGACTGTTGTTTGATTTTCTTGCAAAAGACTAACTTTCTGGACATGCTGCTTATAAATAGTTGGTTATCTCAATTACAGGAAGCTTCTCTCAGATTTCAGTAGTTCTGAATTCTGGGGCATCAAAGAGGATTGAATTCTGTTTTATTCTAGTATAAATATTGAGACATCTCAGAGATTTGCTTTATAATTGAGGGGACTTTTTGTATTTCACGTTTAGGTGAAATCACATCTGCTTTTGCCAAAGATCCTCACCTTACTTTGGTACCATGCCTCTGCCTCGGCTCTGCTTCGATTAGCAATGTCTTCATACTGAGCTTTGACTTCAGCAATGATGCTGTTGAGATCCAGATCTCGGTTGTTGTCCATTTGCAGAATGACATTGGTCTCCTTAACCTGTGAGTGCAGCTGAGCCAGCTCCTGTGGAGTTGCAAACAATGCAATTGTCAAGGGAAAAGCTCTTATGCAGAATAGTGTCATCAGGGTTTGTTCATGGCTGTTGATCAACTTCTTGGACATGTATCTATGTTGAAAGGAGCTCAAAAGAAAATCAATGAAATGAATGGTTTTCAAATAAAGGTCCCAGCTCCTCTATCAAAACAGACATGCCAGGGTTTGTTTTTCTTGAAATCTTTTACAATTCCCTTGTGGAATTTCTAGTACTTTTATTGAGTGTGATTTGGAATTCTCAGAGTCATTTTGTTTATGGGCTTTTAAAGGAGAAGCCTTAACAGCCCCCATTCACTTCCATGGGGAAAACGCATGATGGCTCTCACTCCAGGTGCTTGAAGGCCTCACTTGACATGGGAGACATGAATCTCTCTATGGAGGCGCAGATATTAAGGTATCCACTTTTCTAGGTATCCTTGCAACACAGAAAGGCCCCTCCTCACCCCACACCAAACAATCAGATAACGATTGAATTATTTTACCTAGGGTTAAAATGATTGATTTGAAAGAGGCCATTCAGGGTTGTCTTAGGAGGGCTATTTTAACAGGTAAAGAACAGGTCCTCTAGCAAGGATTTCTTGCAGATAGAAATGCATTTATTTATCACGTATTGGAGAAAGAACTCACTTTAGGTGCTAACAGGTGTAATAAGGCAGAAGTGATCCTTACCGCATCAAAGAGCGCTCTTAAGAACTGGATATGTTGAGTCAAAGAATCAGCCTTGGATCCCAGATCAATCTTATGCATATATGAGCCATCCACATCCTTAGGGAGAAACATATGAATACTGTCACAGTCTGGACAGAGCAGGCTATGGTGGATCAGAGCTTTCAGCAGAGGAATTCCTGCTTTAAGGCTTGGAAGCAATATTCTATGCACATAATGCACTTGTTGTATAATACAGTAGAGCAAGGCACTATTTATTTATTTATTTACTTACTTACTTATTTATTCAATGTAGAGCTCACTTTGCATTCAGGAGCTCGGGGCTCCTTGCCTTCCCCATAACAGCTACCCTGTGAGGTAGGCTGGGCTGAGAGAGAGCCAGGGGCCCAAAGTCACCTGGTGAGCTTCCATGGCTGTGGGTGGACTAGAACCTGGGTCTCCCCACTTTTAGTCCATCATCTTAGCCATTAGACCACACTCATTCTCAATCTGATATCAGCTACAGTGGACATTGCAAAAATACATCCCTATAATTAAGCTGGAAAATAAAATACCCAGGTTAGAAACTCACATTTTTAATGCTTAAACTTGTGAAATTTGGGGAGAGAATTTCCAGAATGTGCTAAATGGCAGCAACCTGCATCTCAGTCCTAAGATTAATTGTACCTCAGTGCAATGGTTTAAAAATGTTGGTGTTGGATTTAATGCAGGTATTATGGTAATTGTGAATGCCAGACATGTAAGACTATTCATGTTAGCTATAATCAAGCACTGCAAACAGGTATGTAAGTACACATATTTATGAGCAGGGATGCATAAAAAATAAAAATTATGATTGTAGCTTTACATTTTCATACGTTAATGCAGACCACTTGCCTTTTTGAGCACCACAAAATCATTTTCACAAGCTGTCCGTTTGTTAATTTCATCCTCATATCTGTAATGGGAATAAATTATATTAGTACTAGTAGTATTAGTATTATTCAACTGATTGTTCAAATGTATACAACATTTTTACAAGTCTTGCTGAATATATCTTTATGACAACCTTTTAAGGTAAGTGAAATCAGGAGATTGTTACTTGCCCAAAGTCTCAGCAAAAGTTCTATACTTCACTTGAGGCCAGTGTGCTATACACAGGACCATACATGGCAAATTAACTATGTATGGATTAAAAAGACTCCCCAACTGCAAATAGTGACAGGGAAAAGTAAATCATGAAACTATGGAGAAAAAATTAGCATAAGAGCAGCTGCCAGTCACTTGGAGAAAGGCATCATGCACTGCTTTGCCTTCTTGATAGAAGTCCACATTACCCACCCAACATCATCCATCACTCTTCACTTTACATACTTGTTCTTGAAATCCTCCACAAGCTCTTGCGTGTTCTTCAGTTCTATGTCCAAATGATTTTTATCATTGCAGAGGCTGTCAAGCTGCCGTCGGAGAGTTTCAATGTAAGCCTCATAAATAGGTTCAAGATTGTCTCTTAGGGCTGGAGAGCCTTGTTGGTACAGAAGATCCCATTTGGTCTCCAGAACTTTATTCTGTTGCTCAAGGAATCGCACCTAAAACCCAACGTGGGAAGGAGAGAGAAGAGGCACATGGTTATCTTTCTTGAAGAATTGACTGGAATCAATTTGCTTGTTTTGCATGTTAGACTTCCATCCTATCTACATCACCCTCCCTTTTTCCCATTTCCCTACAATCATGCTGTGAGATAGATGGGGCTCAGAGAGAGTGATTGCCCCAACACACCCAGTTAGCTTCCGTGGCTGAAGTTGGGACTCGAACATGGTTCTCCCTAGTGCCAGTGCAACTCTTTAACACTCCACACCCCGATGCAGGTCAGGTGGAAAGGCCATGCTGGACCTCTGCTGATTTCCCCATTTGACAATATTCTCCATGTCCCTTCCGAGACAGTACAGTCCTCCTGGAGAAAAACATCCTTTCTTAATCCTCCCTCCATCCTTTCTCTAATTTTAAAAGTTCAAACAGTACTGAAATGTATTTTCACCCATTTGAAACAGCATCAACATTTTGCATAAATGCACATTTACATAAATGCTGATTAAAATTCATGGAAGATGCATAGATCCTTCTTTCAAGGAAGTAAATAGTATGTTGCCACATTTTGCACCTATGTTTTGTTCTTCTAAAACCCCACAATATATTTTACTAGGAATGATTTGGACATGAAATGAAGCAGGGAAGCATAAATATTCATCTTTTTGGAAGTATAAAAATCAGAATTATGCAATCCTGTCTGCACTCCCAACCCATTCAGTATAACACTGTACCTACAGTTGCATATCAGGCTGTCAAATGGATTAGTGGGGCTGGAGACCATGAGCCCTAGAGGTCACATTCCACTCTTGCCTAGCTACTTAGGCTGAGATGTAGGCAAAGGAAGTAGGTGACAAACCAAGAGCAAGTCTTTCCAGTGGTGGATCTTCATCTGTGGAAAGCTCATCTGATCCCTACATTATAGTTTTTAAGGGCACCAGATTTCTGGAGGTTGATTCCACCTGGATGACTGAGAATCTCCATAAACATCGGAAACCAGATGTTTTAGAATCGCTTTTGCTGCTTTTTGTTCGTTTTTTTAAGGTTTTAAAACTGGTTTATCAATGCTCACTTTTTATTTGCATTTTTATTTCGCTGGTTCACTAGCTGGAAAACCCCAGTTCTTATACAAGCAAGCAAGTTGCTGAATACTGCCTGAAATCACTTTGTTTTATTTTATGATCTGCCAACATTAACAGACAGAAACTTAATGATTCCTTATTATTTTGCTGCAAACTGTGTAAAACGTTAAAGTAAATCTAAGGAATGCCAGATGTTATGTTTTGAGGCTGTGTGTGCTTCAAAGTTTATTCAAAAGGGCTTCAAAAGCTGTGCAAACTCGTACCCTTCCCCGATTCATTAAATCAGCTACGGGTTTTTTTTCCAACTTCCACCCAAGCCGAGCCTGAAAAAAAATGTGGCTGCTTTAAAAGTCACATTAATGGTGTGGCTGCCTTAATGAATCAACTGATTGGACAAAGCATAAGATGGCTTTCTCTAACTATAATACTTTAAGGTTGGATTGGATTGGTGCTGAATAAGACCTGAGAATGATTTTTAACGAAGACGTACTTGAAATACATTTGAGAAAGAGAAAAAGATCAAAGATCAAAACACTAGCTCTTATCTTTCTTATTCATATCTAAAGCCTCTTTAGGATAAAGTGAGAATGGCCTTTCTCACATTATTTGGAAGGGAGTATATATTCATGTTCACTGTAGAATGATATATCTTTATCAGTGCTCTAATTGACGTGTTCTCCCCCCCACCCAAAATTTAGGCTTTTAAACTGTGAGAACAAAATGTGTAGTGTGATTTTGCCAGACATCCTGGGTGGCCTTGGGCAACTGACTATTTATCTCCTCAGTGCAGCTCCTTCATCTGTAAAACAAGAATAATACTGTAATGAGGAACTTAGCCTTGAGGGATGTTGTAAGAATTAATGAGATAATGATTTTCAAACTTGGCACAAGCATGTGGTACAGCTGCCAGATGATTCTCTTTATGGGGCCCATAAACCTTTGGAGTTTGCAGGGGAAAAGATGATATTTCTCCATTTAGCTCGAAGGAAAGGCTGTATGTACCTTAATAGGGAAATTTGGGCCTGAAAGAAGCACTGAATATGGCAGCTCTTAAAAAGATACAGGTATGGCTAAATAACTGGAAAAAGCAGATACTCAGCTGTGAGGTAAATCAGATGTTAAATATATGGAAGAAGTTGTGACAAAGTTCAGTAGGTTTTGCTTTTCTTCCACAGTAATGTCAAATCCGAAATGCAACATTTGCGCCTCTCCTGTTTGGATATTCAAGGGTAAATGAAAGAGGGAGAAGGAATGAAAGAGGAGGAAGCAAAATAAACAACAGTTGCTTTCCAAAAAAATGGGTATGTTGCAGAAACTAAATATAAATACGCTTATATTGGGATATACAAGTGTGTGTGAATTTTGATGGACTGATGCAGAAATAGGATGGATTAAACTTTAAAAAAAAATCGTAGGCTAGAGAAAGTGAAATAGATGAGCTTGTCCCACCCGAATTCTGGTTCATCCTGACTGAAAGGACAGAGCATCCTGTAGAAAGTAAGATAGCTGTTTCCCATGAATCTCTGAAGTCACATGTTACATCCTTGTGGATAAAACATGGCACCAAATCACAAGGGCCATATTCCCCATTACATTTTGATATATGCAAATCCAGAACAGGTTTGGCCAGTGACGTTTTGCAATTAGTAGTTGCATCTCTCTTTTTTGCCAGAAATGTTCATTGGGAAATCAACCGTGAGAGATATGTACTGCTACTTGGAAATACAAAAAGTCATGTGACTGACAGCACTTGGTGTCCATCTTCATTTTATCCTCAGTGTGAAACCCCTGATTAGGTGTATTGTCTTCCTCACCTCAGGCTTATCAGCCTCAACAGTAGAAGTGCCTCAAGGGGCTGAAACAAGAGTTGAGTATAAATGTAAGATTTATTCAAAGCAGAATTTGAACAAATGTTAACATTTCCAGAACTTTGTCATTATTTTTTGAACTAAATAAATGGCACAGCAAACATGTATAGTCATGTTCTTCCTTCACTGAAATTGTTCTATCACTGGGGTGATTGCACTGAGATAACCCCAGCTAAGATGTATGACAAAGGTGAAGTCTCTCCAGACATGACACTACAACTCCCAGCAAACAGAAGACCTATTAAAGATGCTGGAAAGTATCATTCAGCAACATCTGGTGGCGCCAGTTTTCTCACCCTAGTGTCCATGACTACATTCGACATGTAGAATCCATCTTGGTATTTCCAGACTGCCATTAATGTGAGAGGACTTTCTTTCTCTACCACCTTCGTGTCTCCTTAAGAGAAGGGAGGGTCTCTGTTCCAGAGAAAAGAGGGTCTCAAACAAATTTTGAGGATGCATGAGTGGCTTTGGTGCAGGAAAAATCACTCTCATTCATTCTGTTTCTGGGGGCCTCATTTGATAATGGAAGCAGACAACTATTCCATTCTAAATCGTTTTGCTCCCCCTCAATAGTTTTAGATTAAGTTATTCTGATTGTAACAGTGTAACAGAGCTATAGATTTTGTTCTTCTGCACAGGTAGGAAAGCATCTCTTCATTTACATAATGCCATCAGAAAGCAGTGAACCTCTTCTGGTGGGTTGAAGAAAAAATAAATCCCACATTATGAATGGGTGAGATCCAAGTATGATTATTGTATCCACTTGTGGACAGACCCATTAAGAAGGATTTAGACAAATTGAAGCAGATTCAAAGAAGGCAGTAAGGGTGATGAGGCATCTATAAGCTAAGTCCTATGAAGAGAGAATGAAGGAATGGGTTGCATTTAATCTTATGAACAGAGTATGAGAAATGTCATGGAGAAGAAGATCAGAACTTGTCATCTATCAACTCAGAATGCAGAACATGGAAAAAAGGTACAAGAAGGTAGATTCTAATTATGTGTTAAGGAAAAAAAGTCCTATAACAATAAGAACAGTTTGACAATTGAATAGTTTGATGATGAAACCTAGAAAAGGGGTAACTAAATACAATTCTTGAAAACCAGAATGGAAATGGGGTGAGGAAAAAGGGTAGCTGGGCTGGGAAGGGAAAGAAAAAGGAAGGGGGAACACAACTGAGCTGATATGAGGTGAAGGGAAAAGATAATTAGACAGAAAAGGGTTAAATTCACCAGGCAAGCAGTGTTCCCTACCCCCAAAGCTATAACTACTCTGTGTAGGATCAAAACCTTCACTCTTACTCCTCACTGGCCATGTTCAAGCAGAAGCTGGAAAGCCTTTCATATGGAATGCTCTAATTTGGATTTCTGCAATGAGCAGCGGATTGGACTCCATGGTCTAAATGACCCCATCCAACCCTATAATTCTATGTACTAATGACTTGGATAAAGGTATCTGCCAGCACTTTGGACAGCAACAAAATGAATGCTTGGCAGAAAATTGACCAGGCACATGTCAAGTACAGATTTCATGAAGGGGAGAAATACAGCGATTTAGCTATTACTGTGATATGCCCCTCTGGAGTATATGGTACAAGGCTTTAGAGGAAAGCTATACAGAAAAATCCAATGATGAGAAGCTCAAAGTATTAATTAGATTTGCACAGGGCTGGACTACATTTCAGAATATTATGTTGTACAGATAGCCCTTCCAGGCCTGTTCCATTTTAACCTTCTTATGCAGGGGGAAGGGAAGGAATAGCATATTTTAAGCTCTTTCATGTTGGACACTTGATTTCAGTTTGCAAGGAGTAGGTCATTAAAATAATTTAATTTTTAAATATGTTTTATATATTATTACTCTGTGTGTGTGGATCTCCAAGACAGTCTTGACTCATGGTGACTGCCTGGACTAGTCCTTGCAGTTTTCAGGTATGCCCTTGCTTTCTTCTTCCCAGGGCTGAGAGAGAGGGACTGGCCCAAGATCACCCAGTTGGTTTCATGCCTAAGGCAGGACTAGTACAGTTTCTAGCCTGGTGCCTTAACTACTACATCAAATTGGCTGTCATTTATTTCTATTACATCATCATCATCATCGAAATAATAATACCACCACCACCTTGGGAAAGTGGTTTATAAATACTAGCAATAAATATTTCATAAAACATTTTATGAAGAGGAGCATAAAACATGATTTTCACCTGCACAGGGTTAGAACAAACCTGTGCTTAAGAAACACCTAAGGATGAAGCTGTATATGTCAATAGGAATATATTATTCAGTATAGTTCCTTAGAACCACTTACATTAACCAAGTGAGTCTTCAAATTCCTGCTATCAAATTAATCCAGAATGGTTGTAATCTCCATTTTAAAATGAAACATTCCTACTTCCCTCACCCCCAGATTCCACCAATTTCAACAGTTCCACATTTTAACATTCAAGGTCTAAACATCTTTTTAAAAAATCACAATAGTTCACTTCCAATCCATCTGAAATGCATGCAAAGCAGCCATTGTTTAAAACAGCTTGCATAGTTCTTTAACATGTGGAAAGTAACCTCTATCTCAAACAGTTGTGGGTTGGCCTCACAAAAATTCAGCTTGCGTTTACCCAGTGTGCTTTCCTGTTATGGAAAAAAAAGTCACTTAAAATACAGTTTCATCTCAAGACCAATAGGGCTATGTTCAGACACATATTAGGAATATTCCAAAGAGAAATCAACTTTCTCTTGAAAGCAGTGATGATGAACCTGTTCATTCTGGAGACAGTTAGCTCTTCAGGAAGCAAACATGTTTATTTATCAGATGTACAGGTAGTTCCCAGTTTAAGAACGAGTTCCATCCCCAAGGTCTGTCCTTAAGTCGAATTTGTATGTAAGCAAATAGTATTGTGTAATGTATTGTGTAATGAACTCGAACCATTGTGTATTTAACTCGAACTTCACTACAATAGGCTCCTTTCTTAACTATGAGTCATCCTTAAACTGGGCTTTCTTAACCTGGGGACTACCTGTACTAGAATAGATCTATATCAATGTCACTGTAACACTTTATTTGAAAGAAGCTGCCATACAAACCTAAGTGAAGCCAACAATGAATTTGACTAGTATCGTTAGGGTTTCTTAAGTATTTCTGGAAGAAATCATTCCTAGCTCTTGTGCTAGAAATAAGAAGGATTGCAATTAGGAGGAACTTGTACATACATTCTGCCACTGAGTTTAACTCATAAATTATGCAGTAGAATGCCACACCAGACACTAATCTTTAGATCAGTGTTTCTCAACCTCAGCAACTTTAAGATGTGTGGACTTCAACTCCCAGAATCATGGGTGTTAGCTAGGGAATTCTGGGAGTCAAAGTCCACACATCTTAAAGTTGCTGAGGTTGAGAAACACAGCTTTCAATAGCTAACCATATGGTACGAACGCTCAGTCTTGGACCTGAGCTTGATAAACATGGTACCAATTGAATAAAGCATGTACTATGCACCCAACTGTTTGGAAGTTAGCAGGTCACAACTTAAAGTATATTGGGCCCAATAAAACAACTTTATCAGTTCAGAACTTTCAGATATGGTTCAGGTTATTTTACAGATGTATAAATGAATACAGTCTTAGAGTTAGAAGGGTACTGAGCAATTGTCTCAAATGACCATGTGTTCCATGACAAGATATCCTTCTGTATCTATTGCATCATTGGCAAATGTCTGCCAAACCTTCTTTGACAATTTCCAAGGGAAAGTATACCACAACGTTCACATTTACAGTTAATTCCATTACTGAAATATCCTGAAACTTAGGAATTTCTTCCTAGCATTTAGTTTAAATGTACAATTTGAATAAAGTTACTGGTTCTTGTCTTAACATAGCCTTCCACAATCTGGTGCTTTCCAGGTAGGAGAGATGACAAATGCCATTATTCCCAGCTAAAATAGCCAAAGGGGTCAATGGAAATCATTGCCCAATATATCTGGAGGAAACCCAGTTGGGGAATGTTGTCCTAGAATTAAAACAGCAGAAACTCTAAACATTATGGCTTCAGTCCTGTTCATTTTTTGCCATCCCTATGAAGTCAGATTTTCATAAGCTATACAGATCCTGAGCAGCCTCATTCTACCTCCGTGTCCTATAGCAAAATTTCCCTTGTTTCTTGTTTACAAACTATTCTAGAACCCCTCAATGTTCTTTTTGCAATACAATGTTCTCCCAGCTCTCCGTCTTACCTTGTCGATGAAAGAGGCAAACTTGTTGTTGAGGGTCTTAATCTGTTCCCTCTCTTGTACCCGAACCCTCTGAATCTCAGGATCGACCTCCACATGCAGAGGAGTCAGTAAGTTCTTATTCACTATAACATTGTGGATTCGCCCTGGTGGTGGGCAAGGCACTGAGCCTGAAAGTACATATCCTCCTCCACCACCACCACCACCAAAGCCTCCAACGTGACTGCCCAGACCAATGCCGCTGCCAAGGGCAACCCCGCCACCCAAACCTCCATATCCTGTGCTATAACTGCTGAATCCCAGACCACCACCCAAGCTTCTTCCAAAGTGAGCTCCTCCACCACCACCGGAAGCTAGGCCAAAAGAAATCCGCTTGCTTCCACCAAGGTTGTAGAGACTTCTGCTGCCAAAGCCACCACCATAAGTTCCCACTCCTCCGACTGGTACGAGACAGGATGAGCTGCTGCCCACTCGGAAGCCACTGCTGGAGACAGAGTAGCCCCTCCTTCCCCCAGTTGAAAATGATCTGGAGCTGAATTGCCGGTTCATTGTGGGTCCGTGAGAGGGAGAACGGCAAGGTTGTGAAGCAGAAACAGGAGAGCAGAGGTTAGAGGAGACCAAGAGCCCCCTGTGACATGGGAACGGGAAATATCTCCTTATATGTGTTTGAAGTCTTGGGCTTGGTTGCATGGGAACGAGAACAGGAAGGCAAAATATTCAAGGGCTTGGCTTGCCTTCAAGCAATGAGATCTACAGTAACGGCCCAACATCAAGTACAACACACCTATCCGATAGCTTTAATTTGTCCAAATTGCTTGCCTTGCAATCCCTGCTTATTTACATCCCTTTCATGTTCACCATTACCATCTCTGCTTTCTTCAAAGAGCTTTAAGCTACGGTACACAATTCAAGATTAATGCAAGGGGGTACGACTGAGGATGCCTGTCTCTGTGCCAACAAAAACTGTTGCACAGAAAGAGCGAAACACAAGTTTGGATGTGTGATGCTCTGTAGAAGTTGTAGAAATCTTCTGAACCCATAACAGGATTGCATAGAGAGCTCTAAGTACACGTTCAGCTCTAGAAGGCTCTTTGGAGGCTCATTTTAGAGGGAAATCCCTTATGAGCATTTTGTGTCTTGGTGTTATGAAATACACAAATGTTGTCATGAGGAATGTGCAAAAGAAGAATTAACAGTGTTGCACCTCAACATCAGCTTTCCCCAGCATTGGTTTCTTTGGATGTGTTGACCTACAATTTCCATAAGCTGCCACTAGCCTGGACAATGTTCAGAGATGATGGGAGTCTTAGGGTAAATATTTGGAGAGCATCAAGTTGGGGATGAGTTGAATCCATGTGAAGTTGCTCATGCTTTTCTTAGTGCCACAGCATCATTGATACACCACATTTATCTAGGGCTTCTCTGTCTAAGAAGATTTCATGTAACGCTACAAGGTGGGAACCTTGGTTTAATGAATACTGTGAATGTGTTTAAATTAAATAACAAGTTATTTTCAAGGGTGATTTTAGGACCTTGGGGTGGTTTGGAAAACCACGTTCAACTAAACGTTTGCAGTTTATTTTCAAGCAATAAAAAGTTCTCTACGAAAACCACACCTGCAGTAATAAAATTCCCTTAATTGTAAAGAAACATAAGAGCAAAAATGTCTTGCATCTGAAATGGTATCTATCCGAAATATGATCCTTGCCTGCGTGGGCACAACATGCAATGAGCAGGGATCTTCGCAGAAACCTTAAAAGCCCTGTTTTTCTTCTCCTCATTTCCCAAGCTTGTATAGAAACAAATACAGGCAGCACAATGCATCATTAGCAAAAGCTGGAAGGTCTATGTACGATATGACCTATATTCTGGCTTTCCCCCCAGGCATTGTACTATGGTGGGTGGGGGCCCCTTATAGGATTTTCCATGTTAGTTTAAATGTATTCTTCTCTTCTGGACACACATCGTTATTTTTATTGTTAGAACATTCTTGATGTTTTTAATGTTTTATGGTGGCCAGAGTCTTTTTGGAGTCCAGTAGCCTTATACTGTAAATGTGACAAACGAACAAATATTCCTAAGCAATTCCACCCATCCTCCAACTCTCTCCATTGATCAAATTATGATGTTCTGCTAGTAATTTCACTAAACAAATTAGGATGGCTGGATGAATACCTGAGAAGCTAAAACAGGGAGAAAGAAAATAAAAAAATGTAACATGTCCTCTTCAGAACCAGATCCATTCAGTTTTCCCCAAATGTCTTTCTTAACTAGTCTTTCATAACTGTAAGCTTTACAAGTGTACACTTGCTTTTCACACCTTTCCCCATAGGCCATGCACACCTTCAGAGTAGCCATGATCTGGGTGGGCAAATTATGGATGTTTATGTTAATTGATGAATGTTTAAACTTGAAAAAGAATCTGACCATGAGCCTAGATCTGACTAGTATTATCTCAAGTATTGTGAAGAACCCAATCGCCTGTATGCATCTCAAAAGTTTCACTTCTCTCTCAGCAACAAGGTCTCCGCATCAAGGGTCTAGGAAAAGACGCCTTGCATTCATTTCTCTTTTGAAGATACATCTGCCCCTCTAAAGCTTAAAATGAGTGCTGTCATAGGACCTCTTCACCATGGAGTAAATACTTAGAGAAGTTCATAAAATACTCTTCTACCACCATTGATGCATCTTGAAATGTCTCCATCCACTTCACCGTCTTCAGTAAACTTTCTGCAAAGGTACAAAATGAATCAGCTGCTTGTGTTCATTTTTGTCATTTATGTATAACTTGCCACCAAATTCTCTCCATTTTCCCTGTGAAACACAATTACCTTGCCTCTTGTACAGTATTTTTCAGATCTGCCCTAAGTACGTTGTAGAGTCTATCTAATATTTGCTGCAGATCATTCAGATTCTCTGCCAACAACATGGTATTATCAGCATATAAAATCCACGTACTGTCATGACCCCAGCTGACACGCCTCGAATGTCACCACAAACATTCCATTAATACAAGTAACAACCAAGGAGACATCACTTATCCTTGTCTCGTGCTCTGCTCTGTGTTGAATCATTCACTAAGCATTCTATTTATTCTCACACACGCTTTCCTTCCATCATATATTACTCCAATCACGTTCAGCATCCAATCTTCCACTTCATATTCATGCAGAACGTTCCAAAATTCAAGCCCATTCAATTTATCACACACTTCCTCTAACTCAACCAAGAGAGTAAACTTTATTTCTTGCATTCATGCACACTTTAAGACCTGCTGAGAAACAGAAATCGAAGCTGCCCACCCATTCCAGCATAAGGCCAGACCACAAATCCCAAATTTTGCTCATTATTACCTCTCCTGCTCTTTCAATCAGAATTCAGTCTAACACCTCCCCAAGCGTACTTAAGAAACTCATCCTCTCCCTCTTTCGGCATCCACTCTTGCTATTTTTCCCTTTATGCAGAGGGATAATGACGTTCTTCCCATCACCAGGCACAGATGCAGCCTTCGCCTGCATGTTAAAAAAGTTGCACAGCCACTCCATAAACTGATCACATCCACCTTTTAACATTTCACCACCTAGGCTACAGTACATCTTCAGCCTTTCCACTTTTCAACACTCTTGCAGCATTTCTAACTTCTTTTTCATCGTGTTTTGTTGGATACCAGCTTTTGTTTCAACTCCACGCTTAAATATATCTTTACCATTCCCCTACCAATCTCTAAGAAATCTCCTTCCAAGGTTCCTTCACTTCAGTTTCATGACCTGAACGTTTCATTCCAGGTACTTGGCTGGAGGGTTGCTTATTTCACCCATTTCCAGAGCTACTTGTTATTTCCATCAACATCATTCTGTGTTTTCTCTGTCTCTTTTAATCTTCACTTAAATGCACTCTTGGACTGCATTGGGGGTGGGGGTGGGGGTCAGGCATGCTGAGTTCTCCACCTGTCTTTTGCCTCTGGAGGCTCCTGCTTTCCATCACGGCCCTGCCTTGCCCCTTTCTACCGTGGGTCTTTCTTCACGGGCCGGCCTCTTGTCCTGCGCTCTGTTCATGTTTGCAGACTGGGTCAGCTTTGTTAGGAGACCGAGTCTTGTGCACAGGCGGGATGGTGCTGGAACCAGGGTGTGGGTGAAGAACAACACAATGGCTGAGGTATACAATGATAGACAAGTCAGAAATTGCAGCCAGGGGCGATCAAACATGCACCTGCTTTGTTTTTGCTCCCCATGAGAACCCACGGCTATACAATATTTTAGTTTATAGGAGGCAACATATTTTTGCTTTTGTTAACCATTTTAATTTAATTTTTGAATTATGATTAATTATAACAATACTAAATTGTTTTAATGTAATTATTTCATTTATTAATTAGTATTCATATGTAATATCTGTTGCATTTTTGCATGTGTATGAATGCAACCCATTGATGAATGCATTTTATGTAATGTGGCCCAGGTATTCATTTGAGTGTGAGACCCCTGCTATAAATGTTATATAGTAAATTTCATTCTAACTGTCTGCAACAATCAATCTCTTATAAGCATTTT